CCGCCCACCATGTGCACTCCGACCCCATCCTTCATACCTTTGGGAGCTGGTTCTTATTTGCTTTGTCTTCTTCGCTAGGGCTGGCCCGTACCTTGCTGTTTTCAGCCTTGCCTTCATTTAAGCCCTGATTTCCAAAGATTCTGGCACCACTGCCACCCTCCTCCCATAAAGGGCCACATTGCTTCAGCACTCGACCACCGGGCTCAAGATTCTCCTCTGTATCTTCCAAAGAAAGACATTTCATTAAAATTTAGGACCTACAGAGAGTTATACAATGTGACCACTGTGCTATGACTCCATGACAACCTGGGTCCCTAGATCACTGTCATCTGGGAAGCAAGTTTCCTGGAGACAAAGTTCTAATATCAAGTCAATATGGTGGAAAACGAAGGAAAAATTAAGAAGATAAATTTTAAAATAACTTGTTAAGGAGCCTTATGATTAGCTCTCCACCAAGAGAGTACTTTATTACTAATAACCTTTTTTTCTTTTTTAGACAGAGTCTCACTCTGTCACCCTTGGTAAAGTGCCATGGCATCACAGTTCACAGCAACCTCTAACTCCTGGGCTTAAGCAATTCTCCTGCCTCAGCCTCCTGCTGTGGTGCCCACCACAACACTTGGCTATTATTTTGTTATAGTTATCATTGTTGTTCAGCAGGTCTGGGCTGGGCTGGAGCCCACTAGTCTCAGTGTATGTGGGTGGTGCCCAGCCCCTGAGCTATAGGCGCCAAGCCTAATAATTGTTTTTTTTTTTTTTTTTGGCCAGGGCTAGGTTTGAACCCACCACCTCTGGCATATGGGGCTGGCGCCCTACCCTTTTGAGACACAGGCACAGCCCCCTAATAACTGATTTTTAACATAGATTTTTTTTAGGAGAAATCTTTCATTTGCACCCAAACCCAGAAAGGAAATAGGCTCTAAACCTGAGCTGTCCAACACTGTAGCCACCAACCACATTGTGGCTATTTACATTTAAATTAATTAAATGTGGAGAGGGGGAGCTGCTCAGGCCTGTAATCCCCTGGAAAGCCAATGCAGGAAGATCCCTTGAGCTCAAGAGTTCAAGACTAGCCCCAGCTACTCAAGAGGCTGAAGAAAGAGGATCACTTGAACCCAGGAGTTTGAGGTTACTCTGAGCTACACTGATGTCATGGCACTTTAGCCTGGGCAACAGATGAGACTCTGTCTCAAAAAAAATTAAAATTAAATAAAAATTAAAATGTAGCTCCCCAACCTCACTATCCGACATGTCAAGTACACACATGGAATAGCACAGATCACTGGAGGGTACCGTGTGAAGTCACAATGACCATGTTATTTATAGCTTTCTAAGAAAGCACAGAGAATATACAGTGGATAATAAGACAGTGAACCACAGAGAGAACTATGTTACATTTTTTTCCTTCTCTGAGTTACAAAATTACACTCAGCTAAAGTGAAAGAAAACTCTGGGCTTTGCACCTGTAGCTCAAGCAGCTAAGGTGCCAGCCACATCATATACACTGGAGCTAGC